TATCCACACAAACAAACAAAGTGTGCAATCCAATGAATGTTAATCTAACTGGGTTTATAGATAACATATCTCTTTTTCTTCTCTCAATTATTTTATTTATTTTGTGCACTCTAATCAATATTAATCAAACTATTGTTCGTTTATTTTCATTTCATTTCAAACCTTTATTTAACCAGATTGGTCCCATTGAGATCATAGATCTCTTTTTCATTTCATTTGTATTTGTCCCGCTCATGGTACGCAAAACGAAATGTACAATAATTGCCACAAAACATGACTCTACCATTTAGCGAAAAGGAGCAGGGAGAAGAATAAAATCTTATGTGACCTGCCCCTTTCTAAAAAAAACAAATAAATACAAATAGATGGTCTGCCCTTCATAATAATACTTATTTTTTTCACAGCCAAACATAACAGTATCTTAGGATACTAAGAGAAACACACAAAAAATACTTATTTCCCACTTGACGGTTAACGGAAAGAAACAAAACACCACCAAAACATCACATGTATAAGGAAAATAAAAGTGCAACACCCGCATCTGAGTCCTACTGGAGAAGAAGGTGGAAAGCGACACATGATGATAATAACAATAACAACAATAACAATGGCAATGGGACCCGCAAATACAGAGGAGACATCACATCAAAGACATCAAAAACATGAAGGACCAGAGTACATCGACTTATTCACATTCTGCTTCATATAGTCCCATCTTTCTTAATTTATACAACTTCTTTAACTGAAAAATACAAATACAATTCTTTAGATCCTTGTGTTGAGAATTCCACAATTGTACACCAACTACCGAAATACACATTTGTTTAAGAGTAGTCCTTGCATATGGATGCTTAAAATTTAATTTCCTTCTGTGGTCTTCCTTGTCTGATCCAAAAACAAACAACTGTTGTAAATATGCTGGTAACATTCTGCTTGTTGCCCTGTGCATTACTGATAATGTCTGGAGCTCAGCTATGTCTCTGAGTTTCAAGAGTCCTGACTTAAAAAACAGTCTGTTGGTGTGTTCTCTTGAGTCAGCTTCATGAATTATTCTTACTGCCCTTTTCTGTAATATTGACAATGGCTTTATGTTGCTCATATACGTGTTGCCCCACACTTCTATACAATAAATGAAAAATGGCAAAATGAGTGAACAGTACAACATCCTCAATGCCTTGTAATCTAGCAAATACTTTGCCTTGTTTAGAACAGAAATATTCCTAGACACTTTGGTTTTAACATGTGCTATGTGTGATTTCCATGTCAGGTTTTCATCCAGCGTCACACCTAAGAATCGAAATTCAGAAACCCTTTCAATAAAAACTCCATCAATGGACAGTGAAATGTTTTCATCTTTTTTTCTATTAGCAAAAACCATAAACTTCGTTTTATTCAAATGTAGGGTTAACTTATTTTCATCAAACCATCTTTTAAGTTTGACCATTTCATGTCCAATACACTTTGCTAAAATGTTTAAGTCATCTCCAGAACAAAATAAATGTGTGTCGTCTGCAAACAACACAAATTGCAATAATGTTGACATTTCACATATGTCATTGATGTACAAAATAAAAAGTTTAGGCCCTAAAACCGAGCCCTGCGGGACACCACATTCTATGTTCATACACTCCGATGTACTACCAGCTAATTCTACATATTGTTGTCTGTTATCTAAATAACTTTTTAACTAATCTAGAACTACTCCTCTCACTCCGTATCTATGTAATTTCGAAATTAATAGGTAATGGTCTATGGTGTCAAATGCCTTTTTTAAGTCAATAAATACACCTATTGTGTATTTCTTTCTTTCTATAGCTGTTGTAATTTCTTCTGTTATTTTCATTAAAGCTAAAGCTGTAGATCGATTTTTCCTAAATCCATACTGACTCTCACTCAATAACTCTTTTTTTTCAATAAAACTATCACATTTTTGGACAAACAATTTCTCAAGGACCTTTGAAAATTGTGAAAGCAAGGACAAGGGAGACCTGCACATTTTAAGAATGGCGTTTATCTTTTTTGAGAATGAGTTCTTATTTTATTTAATGTATTTGGGTCTACAACAGATGATACAAATGTTTGTGTCAGTAAATGTGTACTAACAGAGGCGGGGGTGTGTGTGGAAATAACGGGGACAGAGCTGCTGTCAGACGATCAGCTGTGCAGCGTCATCACAAACGGACGTTGCTTCACGTGACGCTCCGGAGGAAAGGATGTCCCATTGCTCTTAAAACTCATTTCCCTGCTTCTCGTGGTTTCCTTGCGTCTCTCCATGCTTCCCTGGTGGGAGGGACTAGTCACAGGGAAACGACGCAAGTGAGGGACGCAAGGAATCCATTTAACCGAAGTGAGAAGGACCCTAGGTGTGGGTTGTGCCCCACCTGCCCCTAATGACCAGTCGCCACTGGTAGGTTGACTGATACATGTCACATCACTTTCTCAGTTCTGCAGTGCCACTTAGGCAAGGAAACACAACAGGTTGATGTATAGTTTGTCTTGTCCTCGCTTTCTAACGAGTCAGGTGAGGGGCAATCAGACCTGGCGCCGTGGGAGGGCCAGGCCCTCCCATTTGACACTCCTGGCCTCCCCCAATAAACAAGTTTTTTTATTATTTATAAAAATGTTTTCAATTATAAATAAACTGTGAACTTTAATGCTACGATGTATGTGATGTCAGATAGTAATATAAGAGTAATAAATGAAAAACAGTTATGAAATACTATATGACAGTAAAACAAGAATACAGTTTAAAAGGAGTGATTTGTAAAATATCCATAAAGAAAAAGAAAATCTGTTTACAGTTCTGTCTCATATGGGTGTTGAGAGATGTATCCATAGATCTCTTTATTTTGCTCTCAAAGTGCACCAGATTGATGCTTTTAACTTCAATATTTAAAAAAAAAATCTTCCCGGGGGAGCATGCCCCCAGACCCCCCTAGAGGAGGTTGGGTCCACCCTTTATTCCAGCTTACACCTATATGCCATGAGCTGATTATCGAGCCTTCATTTAACAGTTGTGGGTACTGTGTATGTGCGTGTGGGGAGTGTGGCATTAGAAAATTCAACTGTAGCCCGGTACATTAATGGGAACATGTTTGAGCACCTTCTATGTCAAGTTACCCCACAGCACCCCCAAAAGCAGTGGCGAGCCGTGACTTTTATACCTAGGCCCTCTGACCCCCCCTTCCCTCGAAAGAAAAGAAGCGATATTACGTCACAGCGTATATTTCAACGGAATATCAAAACTGCGGCCCGGGGTGCAAAACGCATCAATGACAGTGACCCTCTACCACACAAAACAACACCATTTATATAAACACCTATCATGACAGGGCACCCACAGCCAAGTAACAATTACAAATGAATTAAGTCGGCACGGCGGCCCACATTGAAAATGACGTATGCCTACCTTTGATGATCAAATCACTTAAACACAAAGTCCATCCTCCTGTCCTTTTGGATGAAGCACTTGCGGGTCCATTCAGCTGATCCTTTGCCACTCCAGTTTATCATTGTAGGCTAACTCAATCTTGAAAATGACTCGGTTAATAATTTCGCAACGATGTCATCACTATCACTGACATGAGCCATCAAGAACGAATTTATGCTAATCATAAATCTATCCATCATAAATCTATCGATTAGATTTATGATTTGAAAATAATAAAAGTAGAGTAGACATGTGTATATAATCCGGCTGAACAAAACGTGCATTTATCTAACAGGTTCGTTTTCCACTGACCTTATTTCCAGCTATTTTCCAAAACCCGCTTTCTGTCGAGGGAATCCGAGCGAAGCTTACTTCCGGGTTTTAGGAAGCGTCACTGCACCACTTGCATAGACCTCACAGCGGGCGGAACTTGTCATAAAGTCAGCGAAAATAAAGCCCGCCCATTTAGAGGGAAGATATGATTGGTCAATTGTACTGTCATTTGACATTACTCTCTCGTTGAGTTACTGGCCCTCTGTGAATGTAGAGAGGGACCAACAAGCTCTCCCGTCTTCACATAACTCGCAGAGACGGCATTTAACCCTTCACATTCCAACAGAAACTGAACAGGCAGATTCGAAGGATTTATTTCTTTGGAAATATTATTTTAAATACAAATAAATCAAGTTATTTTGGTAAAACTAATGAAAAATGTAACAACAAAAAAAAAAAAAAAAAATATTTTTTTTAAAAGTTTTTTTTTTAATGTTTTCAAATATTATTTTTTAGAATATCTTAGGCCCTCACAGAGGGCCGAGAAGGCCCTGACAGCCCAAAAGAAAATCTCTGGCGCCATGACGGTTTGGTGTGCCCTCCCATGAAAATCATATGCCCTCTGTAGATTTGTTCTGGCGCCGGGTCTGGGGGCAATTGACCACAGATTTCAGTTAACTCCCATTTTGGCTTTATCAAAAGCTGCCATGCTTTCAGTCTTACATGGATCTAATATATTAACATGTTGCATTAAATAATAAATCCTTTTTTACAAAATTAAGTTTTGGCTTGCGATATACTGTCTCCGATTGCTTAAAAACTCAGTGGATATATATTTTTTTTACAATAAATGTAGCATTCACATTTCGGAGTGAAGTGAACGATTTTCATATAGTATATACAATCATGATTTGAGTTATAGCCAGTGGCCTTCCAGTTTGGCCAACTGTTGCCTATTAAAACTATTGCTTTTTTTTTTAATGATATGATAGTTTTTACTATTTTTTCTTGATTGTTGTACTTGCTCTATTTGTTACCAGGTTCATGTTGCAGTTTTAGGAAGAAAAAAAACACAAGCCCAAAGAACTGTATGTGGATGCTACGTTACGCATTAAGCATGTCAACGTAATGTTGTCAGGTCACCTATTGCTGTTCAGTTTCTAGGCTTGCGTTACATTCTGTTTTACTGTGTGTACTATATGTATTTTTGTCTTGTTTTTAAAAAGGACTGATTTAAACTGACAATCTTGAGTCCACAGACATTTATGTTTGGAATAAATCACAGCACACTTCCAGCTTACACTTGGTTGTTTTTTTATTTGCAGTTCTTTACATTTTAGAAAAAGAATCCAAGAATTTTGCCTCCCGTGTGTTTTCGTCTGGCCTCTTCGTGGTCCATGATGCCAGCTGAGGTGGTCAACACAATGTATCTGTGGAAACAAAAGTTACTATGTTATTATACAACTCGAGCAAATCCACCTAACTGCAAGTGTATAAGGTCAGACAGACTGTGCGACTTATGACTAAATGTCATTCACATGGACCACAAATGTATTTATCACATACAAACTAGTACAAATACAACCAAAAAGCCAAACCACAGCCGCAATACAATAATTTAAACACCCTTTGGATTACTGACTTGAACCATCATTCTAATTTATCTAAATAAGGGCCAAAATCAATGACTGAAAACAAATTCTGAAAATACTTTAAAAAGCCACAATATACTTTCATATTTGAACATATGAGTAACCCCTACTCTTATTTACTAAGAAGGTCGGTTTCTTTATTTTGAAAGTTACATTTGTAGAAAATAAACAACTTAAGGGGAGATCCTTAGTTTGCAGAGTTGTAAATAGTATACTCTCTCTGGGTACGATTGGGTTTAGGGCATCTCTTTTTGCAACTGACCGAGCGCCACAGGTGAATGAGGACAGTTAACTCCAATCGTGTTAAAATCAGTTTTATACGTCTTCTAGGGTGGGATCAGACAACTTAAAGTAGCAAAACAAATGGACTGGCCTCTCTGGACATAAGGAAATATGAGGCTGCATCACAAATTCAATTAATAACTGATGACCGTCGATCCATGTGGGAAAGCACATTCAGTTTCTTTCTTACTACATTGCTTGGAGAGCATGCGAAAATCATTTTAACTACAAGCATGATACCATTACTTTATAGTTATCCAGTAAATGTCAACATAAGTTTCAGTCCAACTCATGACCCTCACATACACTCCCCATTTCTGCTATATCCTCCAATACATCAAACTGAGATGCACCAATAATGCAGAGTTAAGGCGTCAAGACTATTTAATACTTCTATGACTGCATGAGGCCATCTATAAGATAAAAACCATCTTCGGCAGCAACAATAAGTGCCAAGAACTTTGTTGCCGTTATAGTGAGATAAATACTTTCAACAAATACCACCTTTTCTCAAAAACAAAAGCTTCTGCCACTCATTTAGAGCACACATTCCCTTTAGATTCAAACTTAAAAAGCCATACTGTGTGTTCAAAGTGATAGCCTGCCATCTCAATTAGTCAATTAACATACAAGACAAACTCATTTCTAGTTTTTAAATTCAGCTTCAATTCATGAATTAAATAAATGAACAGCAGTCACTTCACAACAAGTATAAACTCATGGGTTGTATAATGTTTTTCTATCCCGGGCTATCTATTGCAGTAGAAGAAAAAATAAAATAAAATTTTGGAACGAGTTGCCGACATTGTCCCTGATCAGTAAGAAGGGGTGCTGTAAACCTGTCAATAGTATCTGTACCACAGGGAGAGGGTCCCCTGCATCTAGCAGGCAGCGGGGACTCCGTTCATTATGGAACTGGAGCAGCATTTAGATTGCAGGTACAAGTTTTTATTTTGCATCACGCACCAAAAAAGTAGAAGCATGAATCGCTAAGGGGTGCAGAATTAACACTTTCTGCAGTAGGACACCACAATGTATTCTCTGAACCAACATATCCTGAAGACTTTCTGCAGATACAGAATGATACTGGGAAATGTCTTATATCATTCATACCTACTTTCAGCAACCAATGCTATAAATAAATGTTTGTTTTTTTTAAAAACCCAGTTAAAAACTGTAACAAGTACTTTAGTTCAGTACAATCACTGAATGTTTCTCATTTAAAAGTTAGTTTCAGCCTAGGAGAATTCTGGGAGCAAAATCCTTTCCAGTACATTTACATTTCTTGATAAAAAAAAACTTTTCCCAGAGCAACACCAAAGGACGGCCAAGCAATAGCAGGCAAGTTAAGCATGATGCCAAGCTACGGTAGTTACCAACTAATGATGAGTAAAACAAGGGAGCATTGGGACTAAACTCCTATCCAGTGGGTTCAGGGCTACAGTTCTACCGACATTCAGTAATAAAAAAGTGTCTGATTCTCACCCAAACTGTCTAGAGGGCAGCAGGTTGTTCTGCCACTTCTCCAGGTCCTTGAGCTGGAGATCAAAACGAGGACTGATCACTCCACACTGAAAAGATAAGAAACTCCAGTTAGTACTCCTAGAAATTAAATACTTTAGATGCACCATCTGTGAAAACTTGAGAATTCTCTTGGATGTTGCATTTACCACTTTCCTACCATAAAAAGCATCAACCTCACACACTAAAGTAATGAGATTTATAAAAGTAGATGCTTGAAAAAACTATGTCTGGAGGATAGTTACTAGAGGTGTTATTTGGAGGATGCTTGAAAAACAGCCACAGCGCAAAAAAAAAGCTAAGTTTGGTGTTTCTTTCATGTTAACATGTGCAAGAATAGCCAATTCAAACAATTAGCATTTACCCTATAGTGTCTCAAAAGGAGAAGTATATTTATACTTCAGAGCTGGGTCTAAAATACTTTACCTTGTTCAGCCTGCCTGTGAGATTGACGACGATTTTCCCGGCTCTGTGGTCGTCAATGATCTCAAACTCGCCAATGTAACCTGTAGGCACAGATGACAAACAACAACAATAAGAAGACGACTCTCGCCCCGATGAGCTTAATATTCTAAACTGATTGAAATATCAAATTCAGCAGCAATTAATCTAGACAGAGATACTTTTAACAATCATATACTCTTTTGTAATGTGCAACTCTCTCCAGCTTAACAACAGTTCAGTTCTAGACCAGAGCAACAAGCTGCCACATGGCCAAATTATTAAGTCAGCATTTCATGACACCAAAACACTATTCATTCATAGCAGAGAACTTAGCAGCCACTCACCGTGCTTCATCATGACGGTTAGGAAGCGCACAATAACCTTGGAGCAAGGCCTGAGGAGGACCTGGCGTTTCCCACGTTTCTCAGCATTGTTGATGCATTTCAGAGCATCTGCGAGTACGTTCATGCGCACCATGATGCCTGCGGACACAAAGACCACAATTTAATGTTAAAGAGTGACACAGATGAGCTTCAACCAACGGAAATGAGCTGTGCTTATTTCCCCATTATCCTGTAGGGCTGTTTTTCCCAGAGCCGTCATTCTCTCATACTTTGACTGATATACAAGTTTGGGCATAAACCCTCTTTCCTACTATTTAGAAATGATGGCACATGAGGTGGAGCCCCAAACGTTATGTCGAGTTAGCTACACCTTGCTAGCACCACTGATTTAACGACGCGTAGCTGTAGCACCAACAAGTAATAGCAACATGGCTAACCATAGCAACTTACGTTACGAAAAAAATGATACGAACATGTTTTACTCGCATTAAGTTAAACGACACTTGAATAGTAAAACGCAGAATCCCAACACAGCATGGTTCTTCATGAGCACACGGAATGGCTACTTAGCCTAGCCGAATACATTTCAAATAGACAAGCAGAGCATCTCCCAACACCAGCGCGCACAATGGTCAACGTGATGTCAACCATGTACGGAATATTTTACACACGAATATGTTTGTAAAGCTTACAGGTTTTGTGTTTGAAATTAAATAGACACGTATTTGGTCACAAAGCTAATAGTTATAAAGGCGCCTTGAACGCACCGATTACCAGGCCGAGCTGCTCGATGAAATGTATAGTCCAGATGTGTTTAACCTGTTCCACTAAACGAAGCGATAATCACCTCAAATCATTAATATGAGCTTTGGCTTCAAGATGATCGTATAAATGCAACATTTAACATTCTGATGCTTTAGATACTTAAAGGATTGGAGGTGACAGTGTAAAAAGCACCTTACCGGTTCTGCAATATGGCGGAAAGAGGAAGTCGGAAAAAACCGCAAGGCATTATGGGAGAAAATCCAAGACGTTTTAAATCGAGATGATACACACCAGTCCAGCACCAAATTATATTTAAGTCTTTGATAAGTAACCTGTTATACCTCCACTGTTCCACTTTAAAATGACACTAAAAGTATTTTCACATTTACTTATTTGTTCCGTAAAGTGGCTTGAATTTGTGTTTATATGACGTGATTACTTTTATTTAATAATTGTGTTCTTATTGCGTATAATTAAATACATATACATCTAGAACCATTCATCGTGTCACTATACGGGCAGGATCTTTATATGTGCGAACACGAACTGTTCTTTCTGTGATAACCATTGATACAGAGTTAACACATATTTTAGCATTGTTCCAACACCAAGAACGAACATCCAGCAAGACCTTTGTAGATTTGTAATTTATATTTAAATATGGAATCAGATGTAAATAGCCTATTTTATATCATTATAGCTAAAAATGTGGTGTCTGGTTTATTTTTCTTTGCCCAAGAAAAGAATGTTGTATGTGAAATAATATGTTAAACTATTTTATAAAAGGATATTAAGAAACGTAATAATTGCATGCTTTATTTTATTTTGTACTGTGATATAGCCCCAAATATCTCTTTTTTTCTATATGTAGGCCTATGCTATTCACTGTACAAAAAAAAAAAGTTAATTAATTTAAATAAAGTTTACATTTAAAGCAGTGCCACCTAGTGAGTAGGAAGAATTATTGCATGCGTGCATATCTATCCATTTTAATGCATTTCGCATGGGCAAAACTGATAGGCTCATTTGATAGAAAACGAAAGTAAAAAATATAGCGGCAACTTTGTGCATACATAGTATTTTACAATTATACTCCAGTTGTATATAGAGCCTATGAAGTTGAATGAAAGACGTGTTAATTCCCCACATTACATGCAATATAGTTTTAATCATGATAAACAACAAAGCCTTTATCAAATTATTTATGTACACCCAATTATGGGTGAAAATAGAGAATCCATTAACATGAGATTTGGACACATTGAGTTACAAAAGATGATTTATTTGGATATGATCATTTTCTAAAAGCTTTGAAGATACTTTGCATATCTCATGGCACACTTAGAATAATTGAATCAAAGAATTCAAGGTCAAAAATAAAATGCCAAGATGAAGAAGGAATCATGTTCGTTTATTTGATAAGGACCAATGACAACAACACAAGCTATGAAAAAACAGTTATTTTGCATCTTCTCATTGCACCTTTACACATATCTTATGAATGCATTACATTAAATGTAAGAGAATACACAAACAGAATTGGATAACCCCACGAGAGTGTTTTCCATGATCTAAGAGACAATTCATTATCTTTATTCCCTGTTTTATCATAAACAACATGGCAATATTTCTTACCAGTGGGTACAATTCTTGTCAAATCCAAGTGATTACCAAAAAGTTATTACAGGTCTTAAATAAAAGTTAAAAATACAGTTACATTTACTTCTATACATTTCTTGCAACACATGCATGATATTGTAAAAGAAGAACGAGTTTAAATGTTAACAACAATACATGTTTTGCAATACAGAGTCTGTATTATGTCAATGTTATAGAGTTTCCTGACCACTGAGTGGTGAATAACCACAGCGTTGATGTTGTTTTTTAGAGAGTTCTTCTCTAGTGGTAGGCAGTTTAATGCCGTTTTCAATTAATTGGCCTGCTCTCTAAATATTTGCATCAGCATCGGCCAATGAAAAACTTCTATTGGTCAACCAGTAGCATACTTCCCATGTCAAATAGGTACATTTCTGCTGGCCAACTTAGAACAACAATATACACACTTTAGTCTTACATGCACATAAAATGTAGATATATATATTTAGCATAGTTAGCATAGCATCAAGAGCTAGAGACTATACAGTAAGTCACAAAAATCAGAATGAGTTTCTTTGGAACTGGGTTTGCAAAAAATAATGCGTGAGTACAGTTTTTTTGTGATTCTGAATTGTAAAATATTTTCTATTTTCATATTATATTTTAACAATCCGAATCAGAATACTCAAAGTGTGAATAATTGCTATCGCATTGAAAGCAAGACTGAAAGAGAATAAATACATATTTCTTTCAAGCTGATCCTGACTATAGTATATGGTATGTAAATGTTTTTAATGAGTCCTGTCAAAGCAACACGTTTGTGTCTCTGACACTGTGTGAAAGCATTTATTAGATTAAAAAGTATGCAACTCTACCGCTGTGCTCTGAAGTTAGATTTTCATGTAGAGTGATGCAGTACGTCCGACCGTCTGCTAAAACTCAAAGCTACTCAAGCACTACAACTGAAACGCCTCAGATTCAGGCCCAAAGCTCTTTCCTCTTGTGTCCAGTAGAGGGACAGCCAAACCACTCAGACTCAGTAACACATGAAGCATAATGGAATGCTGAGCAGCACAACGTAGTAACCAGATTTCTGTACTATTTCTATGGTTACATAAACATTTCAACACATTCTTTCTTCCATCAAGCCTTTGCTTGGCTTTCTCTTGAACTGCGAATCACTCTACCTGGTAGAGTGCTTCTCAAAGTGTGGTCCGCGGACCACTGGTGGTCCGTGAGCGCCCCCTAGTGGTCCGTGAGTATATTGGTACAATTTCACATTTTAAATAAATTAATAAATTAAAGTTTTACGCACTCTCGCGGGAATATCTCCGCAATGGAGCGAGCTTAAGTTTCACTTTCGATGGTATGATATAGCCCAGCGAAACACATTCATCACACATGTTGCCACTTGTTTGTACCATTTTCAGGCGATTTGTAATCTGTTCTAGAAAAACGATGTGATTTTGGATATTTGTGGAGTTAGGTGGTCCGCAAGTGTTTTTTTATTGGTTAAGTGGTCCTTGGTATGAAAAAGTTTGAGAAACCCTGCTCTACCACTTAGCCACCATTGCTGACCATGCTGGCCAGAGCATCTGCATCTCCCTGGGGATCTAGGCCCAGCCTCTGGAGGTCAAGTCCCATAGCAACCAGCATCTGGAACAGGGTGAGCTCCTGCTGGGTGGTCTGGTCCACCAAGGCTGGGCAGGTGGGGTTGCACTGGGGCCTCTGGCAGTTGTCAACCAGGTGGAATGGACAGCCTTTGGAAGGGGTTCTGTTGTTGCGGGTTGCCTCCAGACTCCTGTCCCAGCAGTGCAGGGCTCTTGGTAAAGAGGTGCCTTTAACTTTGAAACTCATCCAGTTGCTAGAAGAACCACAATACAACCAAATTAGGGATTCAAAAGAAACCAAGGAAAATGTGGAAACAAAGTGTGGGGGAGAAGCTGTCGGAAAGCAATGAAATACAATGAATATAGATTGTGGCCGATAAGGTTAAAAACTGATGATCAGGAAAGTGTCATCAGTAACTTCATGGTCTGATGCAGGCTTTGCAAGTGCTTTAGCCGCACTTTTGGGGCATTATCTTGGTAATAAGAGGGTGTCAACCTCCAGTTCTGAAAAGTAAAGCTATTGGAAGTGCCTTAAACCTGCATTCTTGTAATAGCCATCTCCACTGGATGCAAGAAAAGAAGTCTGATTGTATAGAAATCTATTAAACTTTTCACTTGAGGTTTGCCTCAGGAAACATGTTCCTAATATGTTTGTGGTCTCAATTCACTATATATATTAAAATATCATAGAAAACTAAATAATGATCATTTTGTAAATTATGGTCACATTTAGACAAAATTAGACAAAATAGAATGGTATGATTTAGGGTGGCTGTCATGTTATTGACAGGTAAGTCCCAAAGTGCTGTCCAGAGTTGGGTGTAATAAAAATAGTCCAAGCCTTAGACTAGAGTCTAAGAAGTTGGCTTTTATATTTACTGTTAAGTATGTTTAGTTTTTTTTAACTTGTTGTTCTCGATAGCCATCCTAGTAAATATCTCAGTTAATGTAAAATACCAATGCACCCCATCTAACCAAGCTAGCAAAATAGCTCTCGTTAGTTCTCCTGACTTTATGTTTACTGTATTAACGTCACTCGGTCTCACTTGTTACAACCTCCATCCTCTCGTCCAATCTATAATCCCTTTTGCTACTTAAAAACAAGATGGCGACAGCCAGTCGACAATATACAAATAGGTTATGTCAGAGTGACTACTGCCACTTCTTTTAACAGTCTTTGGTTACATCACAGAATAGCCAATGCAAAGTTACCCACAATGACCTTGGACCTTCAGCACCTCCCATAAAGAATCATCTCCTATAATAAATACCTGTAACTTAGCCCGACTCTGTAAACTGAGCTGAGGCAGACCCACCCATGTCCATCCATGTAACAAAATAATGAGTGTGTTCAAGGGGTACAGAGGGGTTAGAGAAAGTGTGAAATGGCATTTGGTGACATGAAGAATGTGGTGTGATGAACGAGCACACCAAAAAGCAGCATGAGCTCACTAGGTAGAGATGATTACCGGTGCAGACGTGAATAAAGTATGAGGGGAAGGCGTTAAAGTGTTTTACCATCACAGAAGTCAAACATCCATTCTTACCTTTTGGTGATCGCTGTGTGGGAAAGGCAGGACGGAGCAAACACAGCCCTGAATAAAAAACACACAGAAGAATATTTGAACTACATGGTGCATAGGAGAAGAATTGTTATCGGATTACTCTTCTGACAGCTTTTTGGGAACTTACGTGACCTCTCTAAGTGAGTTCTTAAGCTCCCTGCTTAAATTCTGTATGTACTGCCACTGCTCCTCTGACAGACTATGACCGCCCATGTAGATGTTTTCCACTCTCAGCTGCTCCTCATCAAACAGCCACTGCATCACAAACAGAGGGGCTACAGGGAAGACAAAAAGCTCATATTTAGATGCTCAATACATTTATATTAAGAATTGGTAAGATGATTATGTGCAATATGAAATAGGACACAAATAGTCCTGAACCTGTAGAGAATTGTCACTCGACAGTTCCCTTTAGCTTCTTTATGTTTACTGTATTATTTCTACTGCCTGCAAAAGCTAGACCGAACCTATGTACAGAAACTTCTCTGCACCTAATGGCAGACAGATCAAATTATTTTGCAAATCCTACAGGGTGAACATACTGTATCAAAGCATTTAACAGCTAGAGAGACCAATATATTTCTCAGTAGTTAGTCGGTAACAGAACAAAGCTAAATTGAATACATTTTGATATTACATGTACAAGGTGGCCCGAAATGATTTGTTTTTAGGCAACTGTTTGGAAACAAGTTCACCTCGAGACAAAGTGACCAGACGCTTTTAGTCTCTGAACGTTTCGAAAATCACTGGTGACACCACTGTAGAAGCTGAAGGAAAAGTTGTGTTTTTCCTGAGCTTCATAATGGGACAGACACTATTAAAACAAAGACTGAAAAGTCCATTCGTTGTAGCGTAATCAGACGAGTTGAAACATAAAGTAGAAAGTGATGGACTTATATGGCAGTATGTGTTGTGTCAAATGGATCACCCTCCTAGCTATATGACTGCCAAGATAGGCATTGACAAGTTAATTCAAGTGTGAGGTCAAGCATCCTCAAGTTAGTGGTCATGGTAGTTAAACAAGAATAAGTATATAGACGCTCCAATAGATAGATGATGGATGAGGCTCTCACAGGTCAAGGTGGAGTACAGTTTGTGGCCAAAGAAGCACTGCCACTCCTCTCCTCTCTTATAGAGCTGCAGACATCTGTCAGGCACAACCCCATTCCACAGTCTGAGAAAAAAAACACAACACACTGTCAATACACACACATATAGTGCTCAGATGCTAAAATACATTACACAATAAAGGCAAACATAACAGCACTAGAGTCAACAGTATAACCAACGCTATATCATACAAAGTGTCGTTCCCGTAGAACTTCATTCTCAATTTAGTTACGTTTACTTTTGCAATCTTTAACAGTTTAAAGTTTACACTTCTATTATTAATCCATCAACCCCAATTTCCTCCCTCGAAATGTACACAGACAAACAAACCTAATCCAGGAGAAAATAGGTTTCCATAGATACGTAAAAGACTGTTTTCAAATACAAAAGTATTTATTTCATTACAAAATATGGTCTGACTGAAAAATGCATGACTTTACCGAAGTCCTATCTTGATAGCATCTTCAGGTGAGCAGGAGATAGTTTCTGGGCAGTTTGGTGATCTCTGCTGTTTACTTTCTAGAAACCATCCTGAGTCCACAAGGCCTCGGACCTGAGCCTCTGCACCGAGCAGCTCCAGCTGACTGGCCACCCTATCGATGTTCAGCAAAACACCTGTTCCACCAGCACTGCAGGGGAGCAAAGACAATAAATAAGTTTGGCCTTCAGAGTTGAATATTTGTTAGTGGTATCAAAACGACAGGGCATCCCAGCTTTTAGCATTCATACAGTGGATCCTGTTTTAATGCTCAAGGAAGTTCCAACAGCCATGGTGCTAACCTGGGAGGAATGTGGACCATTGCAGGGCAAGTCCCTTTAATAGGCATCATGTCATTGTCCACAGATGACTGTGAACATCTTTATTGTTGACAAGAGGATGCACCCAAAATAGAGCTTCTCTCGTTTAATGTTTAGATTGGAAATGATCCAGAGTGTACGGGGGAATGCACGCTCTCGTCCAAAAGGTGTGGTCAGCGTCAGAATGATAAAACAAACTCACCTCGTGCCAGACAGCATGACAACCTTCGCCAGTTTGATTCCTTTGGGGATGAGGTCTTTGATGACCTCGCGGATAATCAGGGAACCCATGAAGGTGTACTCAGCTGATAACAAGAAAACATGTCAATTGATTCAGAGCACCATACTAGTAAAAAAAGAACAACCTTGAAGAAACTTACTTGCATTTGTATTTCTATCTCTTTCCTTTTCTCTGCCTTGTCGCTGCCTTGGAGGAGGAGTTGGGGCAGGCCCATTGCCACTCCATACATCACTAGAACAGTACGGGATGAATCTAGAGAAATGGACACAATCACTAATGTCAACAGACTTGTATATATAGCTTAGACCTGTCAAAACTTGATGGAGAGTAGTCCCTGTCTGACAAACTTTAAAACATTTGATTTTTGTGTTTGCACGAATACCTGAAGGAGCCACGATGAGACATATAGTGAGCACAAACAAGTACTTACACAATATTTGCATTATTCCAGTGTGGGTTTTCCTCTGCTTGAGAAGACAATATTCCAGTTCCTGTCAATCCAGTAATCAAAGATGAGACAGATTTCCCTTTTGTCTCAGTAAGATATCTTAAAACAAGCAACACCAAGTGCATTTTAAGAACTGTCTGGCTGACCTACCTCTTTTTGTTTGGGGCCACCCCGTTGAGCTCATTAGTCGGGGTATATTTTGGTACCTGGAATCACAGGTCTCTTTGCTGTGGCAGCACCAGCCACCTAAAAATAATAGAGACTAATATTAGACAGTATCATCAGGCACAGCATGGGAGACCCTTGTTAGCACATCACAGAGGCCCATGAGGAATGAAGAGGACTGTACCTGCAGCCTGGTCTGCTAATGATATGCACTCAGAGTCCGACCAAGAAGACGAATGAATGACTTATAGTGCATAATTGAATGGTATCTGACTTGATTCATTTAGAAAAAACTATTTACTCTACTATTCGGAATAATACACTTAAAAATCTTGTAAAACAAAGTCCAACATGTTTGTGTTTCGTAAATGTGATGCACATGTCTGCTATGCTCCCAGGATACACACATAAGTCCAACTGGGGACCAATCCACCTACATTCCCCCATTCCAAGTCTATCTAAGTGACAGGCAGCAACCAAAGAAGGAGAAAAACAGAAGATGGCGGGACAAGATGACATCCCCATCAAAATTCCAATGGGGGCATCACGCCAAAACAAGCTGACCTTTGGGGACCAAGTTATCCAGTTGGGTTTTAAAATACTCACCTTCCAGAAATATCAGCCATCGGCGACTTCCTCTGAACTCCTTTAGGTAAAACCTGTACAACCACAAATAAACAGGAATGAGGGGATGGTGACGATAAAGCAGCCATGTATGGAAGGAGACCATGATGCTCTGTGCTTCTAAAATCAAGGTATTGCGACAGGCAAGCAAATGACAAAAACAGCTTACTTCCCTGCTAAGGATTTCAGGAAAACAAGTGAGAGATAAACATCCGGAACATCTCACCCAGCTGCGGATCCATCATTGCATGTAACTTGGGTGTTCTTGAGGAATTGCAATCTCATATCAGCTGTCTGTTGTCCAGCAGCTCGAACTCCTGCAACACCCTCACGTGTGGCTTCATCTGTGCCTCCAGTACTTCCTGCTCCTTTAGTGCTTACTGCACTTCCAGTACTTCCAGCACTTGCAGTACTTCCAGTACTTCCACTGCCTCCAGTACTTACACTGCCTCCAGTACTTCCACTGCCTCCAGTACTCCCAGTGGCTCCAGTGCCTCCAGTACTCCCAGTGCCTCTAGTGCTACCAGGAGTCAGATTGACCACGGGGGGAGACTGTCCAACATCACCTCCTTGGTTCCCACCAGACTTCTTGGGGGACTTACCACTAGGTTTAGCATTGTTGCGGTTGTTCTGACACCAGATTCCACCGATCAAAAGCAAGAACGCAACCTTGCCCAGTATATTCATATCTAAGGCAGAATAAGAAGAAAACACATACACATACATCACTCATACTCTGTCTTCAGAAGTATTTATCCTAACGTAAAGATCTTGCTTGGCATAGATATTTTTTGTTTTTTTAACTAATCGTCCATAACTTGTTTTCTAATTTAAATCAATAACTTTTCAACGTAGGAATTTACTTACTTCTTTAAGAAGAATCAGCTTGGAGGACTGTTGCTGAAGCACTGCAGGGGTCAGGCAAATAACAAGTGCTGCTGATGAGAGAGTGAGAAGTTCAGAGCGCAGGTTTGAGAGGAGGATGCCAGTCAGGAGAATTGATGAAGCCTTGACCAGGTTTTAATGAAGCCTACAAATCAGCAGTGAGCTTTATAGTGCCACCATCAGATGTCCTCCCATTTTCCCTTGCTACTCCAGCCAGGCCCTGAGATAATCTGCTGACGACACACCGTGAGGGGAGGTACCGGTCGACCAGTGGCGAGGAGAAAAGATAACACACGTGTCTCTTCAACATATTTCATGTCTTTGCACACACCCTTAGCCCTCTCCCAACAAGCTCTCCTTCCCCCTATCGTCTCTCTTATTCTCCCTCCCACCCTCCACCTCTTATTACCAGTGTTTTGATTTAAACATTTACATGGTCAGCATAACTGCATGGCCCCTTTGCGTGGAATGTGACCCAGGGGTCATTGGAGCACACACCTCAAACAGTTCCCGACACGGGAATGAATAGTACCGTAAGCTTTTCGCATAGTAATCGATTTAGCATGCACTTTTATGGCACAGGTGGTGTACACTCTAGTTAGCTGTCGCAATGATCCCAAAACTTTGAAAATTATACATATTATAAGTAATAATAACAGAAATGTGTTAAATAACAGTTTCTTCAAAACACAACACATACAGTAGCTATAGGAGTTTGATAAAACATAACATTAAAACAAATGTAATGATTATTTCCAATGAAATTGTTTGGTTTATGAACATTGATAAATCAAAAAACATGTATTTATATATTTTAATTCACAGGGCAATATTTTTAGTTTGGCCCCTATAGACCCCGGGGTACATACAGAGCAGAGTTTTAAGTATGTTGTTCTGACAACAAGATAAACCAATGAAGGACAGAACCAGAAGATGAAGGATCCACCTATAACAGTTGATATTATACTTCAATGGTACCCATTGTATTAATGATACGTATTCAACTTTTGTTATATCTTCTGGGCCCTGGGAAGTTCCCCGCTTTGCTTTTTTGTAGATCCAGCCTTGTGCCCCTAGGATGGCTGTAGGGTGACGTACCGCTGATCGCTAAAGGATCACGAGGCCAAGGGCTCTAAAATTCTCAACAGTGAAATGCACACCATCCTGACGTGTCAATCACATCAAATAATGATTGCTTGGAAGGCCAGAGGCTACACCGGGCTGCTGGGGCTGTAAGTATTGCAGGGTGGCAAGGAGGTATGACAATGTGTTTTGGACATTAAAACAGAAAGAATCCACTACAATTAAAGCAATTATTTTTTACATCTCCCAAAGGGTACTGGACACAGTGACAACAGTACACACACTGCACGATCAACCTTGTAACAGGTGAAGGGCTGTACAATGATTTCAATAGGCACATATAAAAACATTATGATTAGGTCAAAGGTGTACCATATAATGACTATCAGAATATCTGTATTTAGTGGATGTGTTGAAGATTATTTATCTCTGGCAAAAGAAAATCATTATCATACATGTTGTTTGCAATAATGACCTAACCATTTAAAGACTTACTGTAAGGCAGAGGAATTTATCAAGGTTTCTCTCATTGCTTTGGTATTTTTGTATCATTTTCAAGCATTTCTTTGCCACTTTCAACTATCGCCAGACAGAAAACAAAGCTACTCAAAAATATGTCTGTGAGATTGTATGCACCTACGTGCAATAAAAATGTACCCTAAGGTCATCACTATACTGAATTTGATCTACCGAGCTGAACAATTCTTCATTCCTTCAGTTGTCTTGAAGCATGCACACCACCATCTGTCTTCCCAGAAATCAATGCAACAATGTGTTTAACAGATACCTCAAATAGCTTAAAAGCGAAAGAAGATGCTGTAAATCTATCATCATTGCGCTAGAATGTCACGATCAGAGAGATGGCATTGCTGCTATTTTGTTTTTCTTTGATATGGGATTGGACAGAATGATACCTTTTTCACAGAGGGCTTCAGATCAATGGATATAAGTGAATTTGTGTGGTAATACTGCGGTGATTCAACTCCCACAACTTGTCATGGATCAAACACTGTCCCTCTTAAAATCTACAACACACACACACACACACACACACACACACACACACACACACACACACACACACACGCACACACACACACACACACACACACACACACACACACACACACACACACACACACACACACACACACACACACACACACACACACATTACATGCATGTCTTTATCTTTAATTTCAGGCTAGGTTACATAACCTGTGAGGGGCTCATGAAGCATGTTGAACTTCACCCATACAGGGGCAACAGTTTGACTCCTTGTGCAGCATAGTAGGCATTCCTTTACCTCTTGTGTTGTTATTTTTCACAGCCAACCTCCAAGGTCAGGACACCTAAAGCCTGGGTGGTCCGGGCACTTTGTCTCCTGAGCATTTGTGTCATCACTGGCCTCAAAAGCTGAGTGCTGGGCATTGAGTTGGCTTATTTGTCGGCTGATGGCTTCAAAGAACAACGAACCAGACACAGGCAGTCATGTGCTGGATTCTTATGATCACACTACTGAATAGAAATGTGGCCACTCACAGATAAAACTCCAAAACACCATGAACCTCTTATTCAAACAATGAAGAGGTTACATCCACATGTTTTACCACCATCATGCTTCGCAGAGTCCCCTGCCATGTTGCGTGTAATTTGACAATCTGCAACAACCATCACCCTGAATCTATGTTGTCACCAGCAGTGGAGAGCATAGCTCGGCAAAGAAGCCCATGATTAATAGCAGATAAAGGTGGCATCTTTACAAGCCACATGAAAACGAGCCTCAGGCGAGAGAGCTGATGCCTGGTTGGAGAAACACTGTCGGAGCTTTCCATTCAATCAGAGAGGACGACAGCCTGCGTCTTAGCGGGATCGGTGTAAAGTGCAGGAGGCTAGCAGGTGGGCTGAGCAAAACTATCCCTAATACCAGGTGTTAAGAGACCTTGCGTGGTAACCTTCTGCTGACTGCCAATGTATCAGTGTGATTAATGGAGGAGGGGTCGATGGCAGGGATACAAGGTGTTGGTTTCTGGAGAGGTTGGGGGTGATGTAACAGGCATAGAAAAGGATAGCTGACGTGAATACGTTAAATGTGCTGCAAGAAGCTCCTTCTCCTGAACCCCTCATTGCCAAACGATGCTTACTGTCTACCTTATTGGTCTTCCAGAAGGACCTTCATCCAAAATATGTTCCTCCTCAAGTAGGATCACAATCCATAACAGTCAACATGATCATATATAAATCAAGCACCCAGTGTAACATTTAATTCTTGAAGAAAACTTCACGGTAAACAAAGAATCGTAAAACGTGTTAATGAATTAGAGGAAATGGGGGCTGAATTTAACAATAGCTAAACTTTATTAAACCATCAGTTTTATCCAGACATGTGCTCACTGCTTAGTGAGAATGCATTGCAATCTACTGGTCAAATGAGAGTGGGATTGTACTGCACAAGTTTTGTAGGAGTTTGTATGGGATGACTTCATATCGTTTTGGTGTTGTTAAAAGCAGCCCCTATTTACTTAAATTCATTAAAACTTCACCATGGATTCATGGATTCAAGAATTCAATGTTACATGGGGTGAGCAATTGATATGCAAATGTTCAACTTGTATGTAAAGTATTCCTTCAATACTGTTCTCTTGTCAAACTGGGACATTGGTTTGGAAGTGGGTGGGGTGGCTGCATACTATCCTTAAGTTAACAGTTTGCCTTTGGGGCTCATGACACAGTGGTGCAGCTACGTGGCCTTGGAGTCATGCTGGATGAACCACCAGGCCTGTCAGTTCAATGATGAATACTAGCGGTAGGGTCACACAATGCTAAGCTCCTGCACTTGACAATAGGTCCTTTACATAAATCTTCACACCTGATCAACAATACGATTATCACACGACATGGAGGGTAAACAGCTGTACAAGAGAAGATACAGACAAATGTCACCTTGATGTCTACGCTGTTATCCATTTGATATCAGTGTTTCATTGAATTTACAACACTTTGAGCTAAATGCTAAATGCTAATATGTTATCAATGACAATGCTTATAAACTAAGGCCACGTTTACACAGAGACGAAACGGGTTGTATCCGCTACAGTTCTCTATCGTATGGACGGTTCGTCCACACGAGGCTGTAACGGAACCACGGAAACGGAGCCCTCAAACGGTAACGGGGCCCAAGGTGGGTAGATCTGCGGACGAAACGCTCTGGGGGGGCAAACGGCTCCTTGTGTACGTCCTATTACGATCATTTCCTGATAACGAAGAAGGCATGTAGCATGGTCAGTAGCTACTGCTACTGACCATGCTACAGATGTTAGTGCAAAATCTACTGCTCCTCTACCACAACCATCAGCAACAAGTGGACATGGAGAACTACATGAACTACATGTTGCTAAATCCACCGCGGAGAATAAACAGAAGGGCAATCAGGCAACCATGGCAACCATGCTCGGGGGGTCTTCTTCGCTGCTGTTGGTGTATTTTGTGGCGGAAGTACAGCACCACTTACAGGCCCGGCATATGTACTACACGTTTCTTGAGCCGATACCGTGTGGACTGAAGACTTTTTTGATATCGAATTCGGTTCGTTCTCCGTTTCGTCTCCGTGTAAACGGAGCCTAAGTTGTTAAGCAAGTCTATTTTTTTAATTTGTCATCATCTGAGTTGCTATGCTAACAATCGCTTATTAGCACTAAATACAAAGTGCAATTGAAATTGATGGAAATTGATGACCTGATAGTAGCACAATATATAAGTTTAAGAAGCATGGTAGCACTGTGAGGTGTAACAGCACTTAAAAGTCATTTTGGTCTTGACTGTTGTGGCTCTATATTTTACCTACTGAAACTGCTAAATAGGAACAGATTATAAAAGCACTTCCAGGATATCTAAAAGTTGTTCAGGGTTATCTTTATCACTATAAAGGTTATTTTCTGAACTTTGTACTGATGAATCTTCATTGAGGACTGACCTTGGTGTGTTTTTTCTTTCTCCAAAAGGATTGGTGGATGGCACTCTGTGGCACGCCGTAAATCAGAGATTCTAGCTGCAGTGATGTCAGCCCTTTGCCTCATGTGTTATGAAGACATGTGGACATGTGGTCACAGCTCTTTCAGCCCACACACCCTTCAGTCACCATAAAGATTTATCATAGGTTTAACTTGCCAGGTGCACATGGACATGTGCACATGCATCTTTCAGCACAACAATTGAACATATATTTACGTATTTGTCACAAAAAAGAAACAATATGTAAAACCAGAAAAGCATTTCCAATCCAGAGTGATCCAAAGCAAAGTGACATTACTCTACAGGTATTCATATTAATAGACATACCACAGAACAGTAAAGATGTTTACTATTTATAAAGTAGCCTGTCAGAGTGAGGCTGTTTTTCAGCCCATGCTGGTGTATGTGAACAGTTGACCTGGATAACCAAAACTATATGAAAGTCTCTACTGAGTCTTTTCAAATCTATGGCCCCTCACTTCTAGAGCAATGCATACTCTCATACTGTAAGTATGCACATGATTTCAAATAACATTTATGGTGACATGACAGTTAGCATCTGCGTTAGCTTTATTGCTCCGGGCAGTCAAGTGGGCTGAGCTCCTCCGTTAAAACACAATATCAATATGTCCATGCTTGCCATGCCATATCATGTCAGGATACAAAGTTAGTCTTCCCAAAGGTTGACAGACCTTGCAGCACACTGTATAAGGCTTTAGGTAATGAAATCCCAGGCAGAAAACATAGAGAAAGTGAATGTGGATAACTGTTTGAAGTTATTTAACTCTGCCAAGGTTTTTTGGGGTTTGTTGTCACCAGTTTCATGAAACTGTGTGGGATGGTGTCACATGGGCAAAGTAAAAACTCATTTAAATTTGGAGCAAATCCACATCTTTATATAAATTGTTGATCGAGAAATATATAGTGGTGCCATTTGAAGATTTGCATATCATGTGGGACAGGACTTATGGTATTGGCGGAGGTACAGTATGTGCTCTTTAAAGCCATTTTATTGTACAATAATGGTATTAAAAGCTAAACTTAATTGCTTTCTTATCAAAAGTTGGATGAGTAGACTGTTACGGGCCCTCCACACTACAAGCGTTTCAGGCGTAAAATTACGCCTCTAGCGCGTCTGCCCATTCACTTTGAATGGGGTGACGTCACGTCCGCTCACGTTTTCGCCGAACTGCATCACGGGAAGGCAAGCGTAACTTTGAGAGCGTCTCGCGCGTAAAAAGTTGAACAATGTTGAACTTTTTACGCACGAAACGCTCTCTCGGTTCCTGACAAGTGAGCGTAAGCCAATCAAATCCCGTTTCAGAAAATCTGACAGCTCAAGCCGTAGCCAATCAAAAACCGCGCATACGCTGGGAGAGATATCCTGAGATATCCCGCCGTTCATGTCTATATTTGAAATAAAATGGACGAGGTTATAATCGTAGCGGTAGCGAATCACCCTGTATTATTTGATGTGACCCTGTTCACCTACCGGGATAGAAACCAGAGGAACCAGGCATGGAAGGAGGTGGCAGAGACAGTGGGGGAAACTGGTAGGTTTTCGCCTGTTTGGGGATTTTATATCCAGTTTACTTCATGTTAACATAGCTAATGAAACATAGCCGGTATATTTAGCATAAAATAGCGCCATAGACATTAATCACATACATGTTAATCATCCGCTGCCACATCATAGACTATATTGCATTACATTAATGCACACAATGTCATACTCCTTTCACATTTCTTAGTTATATATATATATGCAAAAATTCATTCCTAGCATTCTATTTCCATGTAAATTACTGCTTTATTTAATTTTTATCTTTTTGCAATTTAACTGTACAATACATGTTGTGTTTTATATTAGATTTCTTGTTTTGTATATATGCACCATGACATCAAGTCAAATTCCTAGTATGTGCAAAGCTACCTGGCAATAAACCTGTTTTTGATTCTGATAAAGTGTGACATGTAAAACCTTGTATGCAATTGAAAGGGATTTGGTTTTCATTAATGGAGCAATCATTTTCTGAAATTCAAGAAATTAACTGTATTCTTTCATTTTCATTTTCATTTTATTAGACGAAGTGTGCAAAAAGCGTTGGAAGTCCCTCAGGGACCGATACCGCAGGGAGAGGATCCTGGAGAAGGAAGGGAAAAGTAGCGGGGCAGGGGCTTCCGGGGGATCTAAACCCTGGCGTCTCGTGGCAGTAATGAGCTTTTTAAAGCCCTTCATGCTGGACCGTGAGACGTCCAGCAATTTCCCCCGGCAACCCCTGCCTCCACCCACCGGAGCAGAAGAAGAGGAAGACTCTATGGGTGACAGCCTGGATGACAGTCTGGAAAGCCAGCCAGAGCCAGGTAGCAGTCAGCCGGCCAGTCAGCCGGCCAGTGTGCCGGCCAGTGTGCCGGCCAGTGTGCCAGACGGTGTGCCAGACGGTGTGCCGGCCAGTGTGCCAGCATTCCGGGGGAAGAAGAGCAGGGGAAGGGAGATGTCCCCTTTTGAGGAGAACCTGCTGTCGGCCCGATGCTGGCCATGCCACCACCACCACCACCACCCCCACCACCAGTGGTGGAGGTGGAAGACGAGGACCTCCTTTTTTTAAGGAGTCTCTGGCCTGCAATGCAAAAGCTGAGCAGGACGAGCAGCATGAGACTGAAAATGAAGCTACAAGAGGCGGTCCTGGAGGCCACAGAAATGGACATTAATAATTAATTAATTAATTAGATACTGATACTGATACTGATCCACATTACATCTTTTTTCACTCATCACTCATCACACACAACATCACATAAATAAAAGTTATTTAAAAGTATGTTATGGCTATACTGTGTCTTGACTTGTTCATGTGGTTTGTCAGTTACAACATACCAGGAGCTTCTTGTATGTCGATATATAATGTGCTGTCTTCTGTAATTATTCAGGTGAAACCCTGATGAAAATTATGAGGCTGAAGGAAAAAGGTTGTTAGTTATATCATGATATCAATTCAAGAAACATGTTTATTAGGAATGGTTGATTTTAAAATGGCTCATTTGGAATATTTGCTTTTTAAAGAAAATGGGTAGCTCTTAAAAGAGCTTTTTGGTTTGGAGACAAATATGGGCCTACACCACATTTGCCTGCCATCGCACTGCCCCCTCCTCGTTGAAGTAGGAGCAGAAGGTCTCCCGCTGTTGGATGGATCGCCGTGTGGCATTGTTGGAGCCCATCCTCGGTGCATCACACAGGGTTGGAGTAACTTAATCCGTGGACCTTGCGATAGGTGTGCGTGATGGCATATCAATGGTCTTCCTGCGGAGGAAGTTATGTAACACACAGGCAGCCTTCACACACAACTCCGTCACCTCGGGGCTGGTGGTGATGACACGCCTGAGCATTCTCCACTGGGTTGAGAGGATGCCAAACGCACATTCAACCACCAACCTGGCACGGCTGAGGCGGTAGTTAAATAACCTCCTTTCACGGGTGACGTCCAGGGAATGGACGCAGAAGGTTGTCCAGCAGCGGAAATGCCTCATCTCCAACGAAGACATGGGGGAGAGGGCCCCGCCGCTCTGATCCTGCGATGACGGTGTCAGGTGGTAGCTGCAGACTGCCGTCTCGGAGGCTCTCTCCAAATGCAGAATTCCGCAGGCTCCCACTGTCGCTGCTCCTCCCAAAGCCTCCAACATCCACTACCCTGAACAGGTACTCAGCATCCACCACAGCCAGCAGTACCAAGGAGTGGGTGGACTTATAATTAAAGTAGAGGGAACCTGCATTTGCTGGAGCCTGGATAACGACGTGCTTCCCATCTATGGCACCAACACAGTTGGGAAACTCCCAGCGCTCCTGGAACCCAGCAGCGATGGCTCTCCAATCCTCCACCTGTGGTACCGGCATGCACTCCTCGACCAGGGCGGTCCAGATGGCCCCCGCAACCTCCTTGACAATGACTGCCACTGTAGAACGCCCGACCCGATAGCTGAAGGCTATCGTCGCGTACGAGTCACCAGTTGCCAGGTACCTGAGAAAAAAAGATATATACATGATTACAAAATATATTTATTCAGACCCCACACACACACAGACCACAGATCCCCCCCTCCACACATTGAACACAGACACACACATTGAACACAGACACAGATTGAACACACATTGAACACAGACACACACACATTGAACAGACACACACATTGAACACAGACACACACACATTGAACAGACACACACATTGAACACAGACACACACACATTGAACACAGACACACACATGACAGACACACACATTGAACAGACACACACATTGAACACAGACACACACACATTGAACAGACACACACATTGAACACAGACACACACATTGAACACAGACACACAGACACACACATTGAACACAGACACACAGACACACACATTGAACACAGACAGACACACAGATCCCCACACACACATTGATCACAGACACAGACACACACGCCATGTACACAGGGGAGCAATACTGTGTTTACCTAGATATCTTAATTAATGTTGAACTAAATCTGAACTAAATCACAGACTTCAGTCATCATTCGTGCATTCTCTCTCCTTCTATACAGAGTCAGATTAAAGAAGTAGAAATACACAAAACGTACCGTAGGCAGATGGCGAGTCGCTCGGCGGGGCCGATTGACATACGCAGATGGGTGTCCACCTTTGTAATCAGTGGGCCCACCTTTCCGAGCAACTCGTCGAACACCTCCTTGCTCATCCTGAAGTACCTCTGAAAAAGGCGGTCATCGAGACGGAGCTCCTGGACGAGAAGGTGGTATTCCCCCCTTTGTAGACGCTTTCGGAGTATCGGGTGTACCCAGAAGCGACGCACACTACACGGCCTCATGCGAGACAATGTATACACTAAATGCAACCTTGCACACACACGAGTTACCCTGCTTACCCTTGCTACAACACCGGCATCCATTTTAGCAATAGTGGAGAAGAACCGGGGTTTTTCACTTTGTATGTCCGGGGCGGGAGATTCACATGGAGATTCTGATTGGTTGTTGGTCGCGGGGATCGAAGAAACGCCCCAAGCGTAAATCTTGGGGCGTTGGAAGCGAATTTTACGCTTGTAGTGTGGCCGGCCCGTTAGGCCAAATATGAGGATGCAACCAGCAGTCAATTAGCTTAGCATAGCATAAAGACTGACCCCCCCTCTCCCCCATAAAACTAAACCAGCTTTTATTAATATCCAACAAACTATAGCGTGAGCTTAAGTGATTTTGTTACCTTCGGAAAGAGACAGCTAACTGTTTCCTTAGGAGTCTTTAAACTTGTCATGATTTTAGTTTTGTGTGTCTAGTCATGGTTTTATTTTGAAGTTCTGTTCTCCCCGTTTCTGATCTTCCTTCCTGTGTCTGATTGTGCCTCATTGAGTTCACCTGTTGCCCTTGTTCCTGCCTCCCCTGCCCAGCTGTGTCTTGTCCTGTGATTACCCTTCTGTGTATTTAGTCTTGTCTTCCCCTGTGCTCCATGTCCGATCGTCGTCTTTCTTGTCACCCTCCATGTTGGTTACCTGGTCGTCAATTATTTTTCCATGATACCTGCCCGTTTTTTCCCTTCTGTAAGTTTGTTCCTGTCTGTCCTGCTTCCCGGTTTTGTTAATTTTACGTTTCTTGTTTTTCCTGTCATCGGCTTTTTAATAAAGCTCTTTTTTTGTTACCTGACCTTTGTGTATTTTTAACTTGGGTCCTACTTTCCCCAAACCTGACAAAACTATGCTAACAGGCTGTATCTCTTTACTCTACACACAGTGTGGAGAGTGGTATCAATCTTCTCATTTTACTATCAGAGAGAAAGCCAACAGTCTCAAACTGACATTATAGTCCAACATAAAGAAAGCTGTTTACATTCAGAGGACACTACGCAATCAGACAATGTATAAGCACAAGGTTGGAAGAAGTTTAGATATAATATATTTCCACTCGCCTTTAAATGCATAATGTCTTTCAAGGGGAAACACAACAATAAGCCTCCTGTGTCTCTTGTACTGGGCCTTTACTGTTTCCCTGCATGCAGATTTTTCTTCCAAAGGCACAATTGTATCTTATTAAAGAACAGTAGATGTTTATATGATTGTTCAGTATATTCTATCATTGTCAAATGTGAGACTTAATCTTTGTGGATTAGCACATTAACCAAATCTGATGGAATGCTATCACAATGAGTCTATTACAGTATGGTTATTTTAAAATGAAACATAGTAAGTCCAGATGGACGTTATGCAAACTGTTGGTTCAAAAAGGCCTGCTGACTAACAGTCTGCATATATCCAATCCAAGAAGCAATAGAATCTGTATCCGAAAGCTTTTATGAATTATGAGAATTTGTATTACTCACGCTGCTCAAAATTTACAACCACATTATTCATGGATAGCAAGACAGTCCCAGTTTAGTTAAGTTTTATTGCCCTTTTCAAGTTGTTGTTTTCAAGTTGCCAACTTCTCTTTCAGTGCTTCAGCAGATTCCTTTGAGTCATTTTGAGAAAAGAACCTAAGCAATTCACATGAATTCCTAAACCCCATACACATAAAGCAAATCTCTGATTAATTGAAATAAAAAATTACACATACGATAACAAAATATTATAAAAGGATTATCTACAGTTAAAGAGTGGCAGCTAATTTAGATGTTAAGTGGATGGTTTGTGGTTATTAACACCTATGTTGACTGAGTCATCACTCCTGTTTTTATATAGTGGTAATTTCATCACCCAAAATGGTACCACAGATGGAGCTGCAGCTTTATTTAAACAGTTGCACCATGCTATAAAACTGTCAGCACTATTAATCTTGGGCAGAGAGAATATATCATCCTGTACCACTTTCTTGTAAAGCTGTGCATGCTCTCATATTGCTTATGCAAATCGGTGTGACCTCTTATGACTTTCGTACAATAATAATCTTTGTGTTTATTCTGTGAAGAGAGTCAGAACTCTACTTGTAGCTCGTAGAAACAATTGTTGCCGCACACAGGGACCCTCAAAGGGACTCATTGGTCAGCAATTCATAAAATGTCAATTACACAAATGAAAGTGAAAGAAAGTGGTTAAAGGTGGGGTAGGTAAGTTTGAGAAAACTGGCTTGAGATACACTTTTTGATAATTTATATTCCATGGAATGCTCTTCCGGCCCGGCCCGGCTAAAATAACTTGATGGCCTACCTGCCTGTCAGCCTTCCATCTGTGCACAAACTTATCTCGTGCCCTCATTGGTCATGTGAGCGTTCGTGTGTGTTGGAGGAGGGGCTCTGTAAGGAAGTGGCAGATTTTTTCCGGCTGTGTATTTTTAAATTCTAGCGCACTCGAGCAGGTTTCTCCAAAATGACCTACCCCACCTTCAAGGAATTACTAGACAGTCATGCATTCAAGTCTTTTTTGATAAGCCATAGCCATGATACATTTTAATTGCTGTTTTATATTATGCAGAAATTGTAAGAAAGGAAGTATATGACTACTGGACTAGATTTACAATACACAGCATTTTATTTCATGTTTTCAGGCTGCACTAAACAACCAGCTCATAATGGCCATCATCATAACACACCGCAGGGATGCGGTTGTATAACTTCAGCTCTTACTTAGGCTGAGGGGCAGTAAAGAAAAAACTATTTTTAAGGAATGGAGGCCATACGTCACATTAACCCTTGAGGTCATGTCTAATATGCAAACCCACTCCAGCTAAAATAGCTCCTCTTACCTCATGCTAGGCAAAATAGATCCGAGCATGTGAACCTGGGTCACAGGCAGCTCACCTCCGTGAGAAACTGTTAGTACAGACAGGGGGGTGAATTAAGACCTGAATATACAAGTTCATCAACAAGTTGGAAAAGTTCAAAGATAATGATAATCAGATCACATATGGTTAAGATGCTTTTAAAAGTAATGCTAGTTCTCTGTAAGGCTGTACTTCAGTGCTTGGTATGTTTATATCAGCATCTCATTGCAAACAATAGCAATGCTAACAAGCACAAAACTAAAGCTGAGGCTGATGGGAATGTCATAAACCAAAAAATATTGGACAGGGGATCAACAAGTATGATCTCAAAATGTATCAGGTTTCAACTGTCCCAGTAGTTCAAAACTTTTAATCTCAATCAGATCCGATCAGATTTTGAAATCCCATTTTTTATGATCCAGGATCAGACAACTCGGCCGTATTTTGTCCCGGTATTTCAAAGCAATTCAGGATAGGATCACCCTGATCCAGATTCAGACTTTTCAAGATTACTAGATCCTGAATATCAGTGCTTTAATCCTACCGATCTCCATCTAGTGGATATGAAAAAGAATACAAGGAAGACAAGAGACCACATTGCAGAGACTTCTATAATGTCTAATTGTTATTTTTAAATACATAAAGGACATCAAATCATAATGGAATTGTAATACAAAAAAATACACCCACTAGGGTAACAACAAAAAAACATTAATTCAAAGGCAGCGGGATCATCCAGGCGTGCTTTGAGGAGCTGAATTCTCAGTGAGGTTTCCGTTTGCTGAAGCCGGCACAGCTGTATTTGTTCTTCGGTCAGACGGATCTGCATCTATGCCCTCTCCGTTTCACGGCTCAGCAGTGTCTCGTAGGCATCATCCCTCTGCTCTGGTTGTCTGGTGCGCTTGCATTTTATCTTTAGTGGTGGCTCTTGCAGTGTGTCATCAGGCCTGGCTGAAGGTCCAGCTTCTGGATCCACATGGGTCAGGAGGACCTCATCTTCAATGGTGTGTGTCACATCAGGTGCATTGACTACCTGAAATGAAAGTTTCTCTATATACTTTATACCCCTTAATAAGATGATCAAAAGCATGCAAGCTCCTGGAAAATTGTGAGGTTTACAAGGACTTGTTTACATCCTACTATAAGAACAAGGATGCTGAAACATAGCCATTGTAGTACTATGAAAATAGCAATTATACAAGATAATAATTGTAGTTCTATAGGGAGAAGGATAAAATCACACATACCTGCGACTCACCATCCAGTACAACGTTTGGTATTCCATGTAAAGATTGTGACTGCTAATCACCAATTATATCAAGTACCACATCTTTGTATTGTCCCCTTTTATATGGTTTGTTACCCGTCTGTGGGTGTTTAGCCTGGCTGTGGTCTTTGGTAGCTTGCTGCTTCAAATTCTTCCACCTCAACCTCACTTGGTCCACCGTCCTCTTGTGTCCAGATCCTGTGGCATTCACATTGTCAGTAACTTCCATCCATATTCCGCTCTTTACTTTAGTCGCTCCACCCTCTCTGTTAAAGCTACCAACTATGGAGTCATAATTATTCCTTACACTCTGCAGCAGTGCATGGGTCTCAGCAGATAGAAAATTAGGCCCCTTTTTGTCCATCTTTCCAACTCACTGGTTTGGTCAGGTCCGCAATTAGTTTTGAAAGGTGATGACAGATGATGGACTTTTCTTTTGTTGAAGATATTTTTTCTTTAATCTAAATTACATTTGTGATTGACAATCTTTGTTGTGATACTTTCATGAGCATAAACATTTATGTCATCAACATTTGGTTGAAAATAAAAATAGGCCATCACAAACGTGACCAAAAAATGAAAAATAAAATTGATCTGCCATGAAGGCTTAAAATGGTGTATTATTTCAGTTAACAAACTTTTCCATCTTATTTATATTGAAAGATATTTTTAAATAAATTGTACAGTACATTTTACTCAAGATAATCCAGTTGTTTGGGATCAAACTGATTTTGAACTACCCGTTTTGAAGATTTGATCCAGATTAAAGCTTGGATTTGATTTCCTGATCTGATCGGATATCAAAATGATCCCAATCCTGTTTTTTGGTTTTGAACTACCTAAAATCCAAATCTGATCCGATCAGATATGGATTAAAAGTTTTGAACTACTGGGCCTGGGGACCATGAACAAAAGTACATGGAGATTACCATGTACTTTTGTTCATGGTCCCCAGGCCCAGTAGTTAA